AGGAAAAGGAGGTCTGCAGACATTTCCAAACATATTAATTTCATGTGCAGAAGTATAGCATGGATAATAACACATTCTGACATTCCCTTCCCTCTTCCAGCACCCCAAAACACAGAAAAGATAAAGCTCAGAAGCAGAATATAGGATAAGATTTTAATTGAAAGCTACATAGGGTAAATATTCTCTTAAGTTGTGGTCTTGTTCCTGTAAGTTTGGAACTGTCTACCTTTGCTGGTAGTGCACAGCAAGATTAGACACAACTATACATTTCGGTGACATATTTGATGATTTAAATCTCTTTTTACCTTCTTCCTCCCTGAACCCCTGACAATTATACCCAATAAATAAACCCAGCTTCTTCTAGAAGGCTATTCCCAGTAACACATCTTGCAGACTGATCACCAGTTGCTGTGTATGGGACATTACAGCTGCTTGTGGTCTGAGAAGGAATGAATTACATCTTTTATCCAGATTGACAAGGGCAAGAAACTCTAATTGGACATAGATGCCTGGTATGATAGGAATGGGCCAAAGGTGACCCAAACCAGTATCAGCTATAATATATTTACCCCAAATACACTAGGACCAAATTGCCTGGTATCAACTCATTTGCTGCATGTACAAGGTGGGTGGGGGCCAGCTCTGTGGCACTGCAAGAGAGAGATCAGTGCAGCAGCACTTCTGCCATTCCAGCAATAAAATGTACTTTCTGAAGATATTTTCTCTGTGATCTCTTAATACTACCAGAAACACTTGTAAGTCCCCTGTCTTTTTTCTTTCTGATAGTATTTTAAATCGATAAAATCTGATAGAACAAAATGAACAGTATAAAAATTACTTATATTTAACCGAGCATTACCAAATAGCCATCAGCTTTTTCTAACATTCTGCACTCTGCTCCCTCTTACTTAAAATATTCAGAATATATGAGCTTGAATTTTTAAAATCTGGTCTTAATCACTCTGGTGACACTGCATTTAAAGTGTCCTGTCAGTACTCTTTTGTAAAGTACTCTCTGCAATTACTGTGATTATAAATGAAAGCAGTTGGTAGCACAGCAGATGCCCACGTCCATTATGAACTACTGAATAAACTATTGCTGCATTGAGTATTACCCTGCTCCAAAGTAAAGCAAGATTAAAGCTAATTGTTTCCTAGCTGGTCCATCATACTGGGGTGTCACTGACAGCTTGTGTGGGTCTCCTCTTAATCATTGTAGTGGTCTGGTATGAGTCAATATTTCATTTCATATTACACTTGGAGGTATTGCAAGTGATGCTGTCTGATAGATAGTTGAAAACCAGAGTACTGGATATACTGCCAAGCAGGTGGGAGCCCATTAATGAAGGAGTCACTGGCACAATCACTTTAGCGATTCTCAACCATGTTCGAGATAACTACATTGCTACAAGTATCCTGAAAATAAGCACATGTGTAAGAGAACAGACACTGCCCAGGTCACCAGTGCCAAAAGAGTTTGGAACAAACCACAGCATATGTGTCTTTCCCAGTGATATCCTAGGGACGTGGGGAGGAGCTGGAGGAAGGGAGGGGATAAAGAAATACAGAATAAAAAATCTTCTGAACTTTATCTGTTCAGTTCTGTTACGTTAACATAGGTGTCTACTGTTTGAGGTTATCAGAGACATCTGTACCAGACCTACAGGAGATGTGGGTCCTCCTAAAGCTCGATCTTTAGGGCATGACAGGATGTTTTAGCAGATAACAGACTGGCAGCATTCAGGGAACTTAATTACTCTTCAAGGATGTCAGCTGCCTCCAGACTCAGACACCAAACCTTAAGGATCTAATGGGGCATCCATTTCAGCCAGAAGAAATCTATCATGAGCAGTTATGATGCCTGCTCGACTGAGTCTCATTTAAGACAATCTATTGGGTCACAAGATTAACTGAAATTCAAGTATTGCATTTTTTTGGATTGGGGTGAAAATGCGCTACAGTTACCAAGGATAACTTTCTGAAGCATTTGCAGACTTGTCAGTAACAGTTTACACTAGAGTGCTGCTAAGATCCATGACTGGTTTACCTGAAGAATTTTCTATGGAATAAAATACTTCTGGGTTTGAGTATTTTTTATCTTTTTACTGGAGGAAAGGGTGAGAATGACCAAAATATCCAAAGATTACTTTCAGTGTGACTCATTCACTTGGGAAGCCTCAGCATAAGACTCTCCTGTAGGCAGAGTCTACTCTTTCCTCTAGAAAGGAACATCAGAACAAACCACAAATGCAAGAGTGGCATTAACTTTACAGTAAATTTGCAGTCCTTTACAGTGAGGGTGGTGAGGCACTGGAATGGGTTTCCCAAGGAAGTTGTGAATGCTCCAACCCTGGCAGTGTTCAAAACCCGGTTGGACAGAGCCTCGGGCGACATAGTTTAGTGTGTGGTGTCCCTGCTCATGGCAGGGGGGTTGGAACTAGATGATCTTAAGGTCCTTTCCAACCCTAACTATTCTATGTAGGCAATGGAGCCTGACCACACAGAGGTGACCATGTCAGGGCTGCATGCATCTGCCCATAAGTAGTCATCTAGTGCCTACTGACCCTAGCATGTCCAAGTCATCTTGGGGCAACTGGCCAATAGGAGACACTATTATGGGAGATCTTGTTAAGATGTTAGGAAAAAGTTCTTTACTGTGAGGGTGGTGAGGCACTGACACAGGTTGCCCAGAGAAGCTGTGGCTGCCTCATCCCTGGCAGGGTTAAAGGCCAGATTGGATGGAGCTTGGAGCAACCTGCTCTAGTGGACAGTGTCCCTGCCCATGGCAGGGGGTTGAAACTAGATGAGCTTTGAAGGTCCCTTCCAACCCAAGCCAGTCTATGATTCTATGATATGTGTTTAGGTGGAGGCCAGGACGGATACGTTACAGTATCCCCAGTGGTGCTAGACAAAACTGAGTCAAGCCCTAGATCTCTGCAGGCTGTAGTAGTGGTAGCTCAGACATCTTCTCCATACATGAACACCATGTAGGCATGCAAATTTTGTCATCTGAAGCTGAATTTCATCCTATACTTCATTAATTCTGCTATTCACATAGTACCTTGTTTGAAATGCCTTGATTTACTTTTCTGTATTTATTTTGGACATCGAACTACAGTTACATAAATTTATCCAGATACACCTGCAGGTGTCTGTAATAGGTGGTAACATTCTTAGTGTTGTTATTTACCATGGATTATTAAGGCAGTGTTGTTTGCTTCCCAGAAATGCAGCTGACATTTTGCACAGAGAGCTATTTGCACTTCATGCTTTTAGCCAAAAATAAATTTCAAATATCACTCCCTCTTTCCTTTATGAGCAGGTAACCTCAGAGTTGTCTTGCTGGGCATTCAAATACGGTGAAATGAAGTGCGTTATGTTTACTTATTCCCCCCATTTCACAACACACTGTCTTTTCCAGAAAAATATATGCTCAACCCATGACACACCACATTTCCCTTAAAAGGTTACTAATAATATCCAGTCCTCCTGGTTGCTAATGCAATACTTTCAGTTTAAGTAAAAGAAAACTAAAGACTAATTCAGTTTTCAAAAGGAATGGCAGATTTGTATGTCCATATGGATCCCCTTAAAAAGGAATCTGCTTTCCAGTGACACCAAGCAGCCAGACTGTGAGAGCAGGTCACTTTACTGGTCTTTGAGGATAGGAATCAAATGCCAGATGCACTCAAAGAAACCCCACCTCCTGTAGCATAATGATGTTAGGCATTTACTCTAATGACAACACAGCATGCTTTCACGGGCTTTCTCACTTTTCATGCCTTTCCAAAGAAGTGACTCTGGTTGTGACATTACAAGGCACAAACGATAGATTAATCCAGCCTAATGTCAGGTGCCTCTCTGTGGTGCTTAAACTGGAGGAGTTTTCCTAGGATGTATGGAGACAATGGACACAGTCTGGCATCCCAGGAGATGCTGAGAACTGAACTGTCTCTGGTGGTGCCTTTCAAAGCCTGAGGTAGCTTGGGTTTAGTGTTTCACAGCTAGATTAAAGTTAGAGCACTTATCAATGCAAGCCAAATAACTAACATGGAATCACAGAATATCTCAAATTGGAAGGAACCTATAAGGATCATTGACTGCAAGTCACTGCTCCTCACAGGACTACCTAAAACTAAATAATACAACTAAGATGATCATCTACAACTTGTCAAACCCAGCCAGGGGTCCAGAAAGTCCTTCTTGGTATCAGTCTCACAATCCATGCTCCAGACAGTGGTGGCTGACCTTTATAACCACTTAGCCTTCACCAGGTTAGAAGAGAGCTCTAGCTGTTTCAGCCCCATCACTGCTGTCACTCAGCTGCACAGAAAAGCCCAGAAAGCCCAGCACTCTGAAGTACCTGCCAAGATCATTAACTACTATTTTAATATTTTTTTGGTGGAGAAAACAGGACCTATATATTTCAACCTACTCAAACCCACTTCTCTGGCAGTGCCTGTTAGACACAGACCAGCATGAAGCTCTTCAGGCACTCTCTGACCAGTGGAAGAAACTGATTTTCTTCCTTCCTGTTTGTTTGCTGATGGCAGAGGACATTTGCACTGTTTTTTGGCTAGCACAGATGGGAAAGATAGAGTTTTCTCTTTGGAGACCTTGAGGACTTCTAGCAAGCCTAATACAATCTTTGCCAAGTATTTTATTTTGTTTACAATAGCAAAATGCATGAAGCTGCGAAGAAAAACTTCTCATAAAGGCAATTTCACTGCATCAAGGAAGTGTGAGATCTAAGTTTAAGACAGAGACCTGTAGTAAGAGGTCATCTAGTCCATCTCTCTGCTACTAAAGGATTATTTCTTCC